AAGGTCCAATGCTTCTGTCAATGCTTTTGCGAATCCTTAGCATTGACATGCGGTATCTGCCCCAGAGGAACTATGTGTGATACCAACACCGGAATTTGTCGCCCATTCCGAAACATCGACAACGTTGATACTCAAATTCCTTGTGGCACTTGTTCTGCAGGAACAATGTGTGACAGCAATACTGGTTCGTTTTTGATTAACCTGGTCCCGTCCCAATTTACCGTCTGATTTAGGTATTTGTCGACCTTTTCGCATTCCTGGTACCACGGTTAGTAATCTATTCTATCCATATTCATATCGACAAACCTATGTGAATGAGATTGACATACCATTGAAGCCTAGTCCGAATCTCTGCTACGGAGTTGCATGTCCTGTTGGTTTTCAGTGTGATGATAATAACGGTATCTGTAGAAAATTCAGGTAAGTTCCCTTCTAATTTATCTCCATCGTCTGGGCTTTCAGGTAGCACACTGCAATAAATCATATGTAAATTTACCCATTGTAAATTTACACATGATTCTCCCTCAAAAGTGATTGTGTTAGGTTGCCTAATAAATTTCGGTCCCCTTGCGGCTCCTACAAATGGTGCAGACGAATTTTCGTAAAGTTTGGTACCTTGGACAGAGCACTTCAATGACTTTGAGTACAAGCCTTTTTGAGTTGAATTTTTTCCCTATGAAAAAAACGCAAAGTTGTGAAAAGGCCCATCATCACATTGCGCGCGAATTGTGCAAAAATTTTGTTTTTCTAATCAGAAAATTTCAAACTCGCACATGAGTTAAGCTTGGATGTGTCCGTATACCCAATCACTCTTCTAACCCTACATACAAGCATGAAAACGAAGCTTAGAATTTCAAAGAACTGAGGTCTTGGAAATTTGACCATATTTGTGCATAACCGTCCTATAAAGGATGATAAAAAAAACTTGGGTGGTGTAGTAAAGCTTTGAACTATTTTCCCTCAAAGAATTTCAGATAAAAAACAAGAGAATTTTTTATGGAGATTTGCATGAGAAAACGAAATTTTCTTAGCCAACTAACCAAATGATTCATCAGTTACTATCCAATTTTCATCACTTATTTTGTAAGTTGTGTGGTAAAAGTCTCATTTGTGACTTAGCTCCTTATCAAAGGCTTATAATCACCTAATATCCCATCAACATAGCTAGATCTGATTTAACTGAAGCCACCTTTTGGTAAGTTCTATAAGCAGAGTAAACTTGCTTTCTCAGCAAACAAGTAGTATCATCGCATATTTGTTCGTCCCATTGAAATGGTACCAATGCTTGAGAGCAAAACAAATAACAAGGTTTTGATTTCTATAACCGGCTGACGAAGTTTGATTCTATCTTGTAAGCTATTCGTTGCTGACTCAGCTTTACACTTACGTAACATGAAAGAGGTTGGGTGCAGTACCTCTTTATCAGTGGCGG